TACAAGCTGAGCTCATCACGCGGCTCAAGTTTGCTTCGCACGTCAGGGGGCCTGCAGGACACGCTCATGTAGTGATTAAGAGCAGAGCTCACACCTGACGCTTGAGGATCAGGAGTGCACTCACCTGTGACCACACTTGCAGCATGATCAACACGGGGACCTACTCTATCAACCCTAGGGATTGCAGGCAAAGGCTGGTCACTACCAAACACAAGGGAAAGAGGCGGTTCCTCCCAAGGCAAGGCGAGGGGCACACGGGTGCTCGACTGCATAGCACACTCCAGGAGTCTGTCAATCCCTGAACTGGCAGAACCCCTTGCAGAGGAGTGAAGGGATGGCTGCATGACTCTTTTAATCAAGGCTGTGCAAGTGGCACGCAGACTCCAAGGCACAAAGGCTCTGCGAGAGCTCGATAAAGCGGATCTCTGCTACACGTTCGGCCTCTTCAAGCCTGCCAACTCGGGCGGAAATAGGCTCCAGATGGGAGCGCAGCACAAAGATTGTCTCTGACAGGGCCTGGTACGACCTGCTCAGATCACGCAACTGCTGGCTCAGGCTATGCACGTGCCGGGAGACCTCGCTAAGCGAGCTGAGGCTTTCACTAGAGTCGGAGTCTTCGTGTGTAGGATAAGGGGGACTTATGAACCAATTAATTTTGCTGCTATTTTGCGCTTCTCGCGCACCCCCGCAGTGGCTGGAGTGTCCCCCCACCCGGCCCGAAATCGCCTTGCGCGAATCCCGCCGTTTTTGTGTCCAGCGCGCAGCCGCCCCGCAGCCACCCCGCAGCCGCCCCGCAGCCTCCCCATAGCCCGGCAGCCGCCCCACAGCCCCACAGTCGCCCCACAGTCGCCCCACAGCCGCCCCACAGCCCCACAGCCCCACAGCTGCAGCCGCCCCGCAGCCGCCCCACAGCCCCGCCGCAGTTCCACAGCGACCAATTCTCATCGTGGAGCCAGACCCCAGGATGATTGTAGAGCACCGGCGATAATTTGGCCTGGCCTCGGTTGGCGGTCACCACACGCAGTCCCAGTCGGACAACTCGCAAGATGCCACAACAGTTTGGATTCTTTTGACTGCTCACACTCGCGCCGGCAAGCTCCAGACCCAGCGGGTCGCCTGCGGACGTGCAACTGGGAAATGCAAATACAGTAGCAGGAGAGGCTGGCGCCTAAGCTTCCTGCATCCAGCGCAGAGCGCCTCGATGAGCCTGACACAAGTCCCGCGCAGGCCCGGAAAAACACGTCGTGGCTTGACAACTAGCCTCACAGTGCCTCACAGATGGCGGGCTGCACCTAGCCGGGTCGGGAGAAAGACAACAAAGACTTGAACAGTTGCAAGACTGCTACTGCGACGCCCAGAGATTCGCACTTGCCTACTTTTTTTGCTCAGGCGCTCGCCGTTCTTTCAAAGCGGTCTCTGCGCCAAGGTCGAAAAAACGTCCGCACTAAGACTACATGTAGCCTGCATCTTGCAGGGCCTCCTCGGTCTCGCCCAGGACGTAGAAGACGAAGTACCAGTGCCGCAAAGCCACCTGGGTGCTCGTGGTGCTCCGAAGGACTGCCTGCGCCGGCTGCAGGCGCCGGAGCTCCATCTTCAGCTTCGTGTCCTTGTCATCACCGCCGCTAAGGTAGCCTTTTGGGCCTGCTCCACCTTCGTCACATAATCCAGGTACTTGGACTCGGGCTTCTGTCCCAGGAGACGCCGGACGAACTGCTGAAGCTCGTCCTCCTCCGTCTCTGCCAGAACGTCCTTGATGGGCCAGATCTTCTCCCTGTACCACTCATCGATCTGGCCCTTGATGCCCTGCCCATCCGAGGCGTTGGCCTTGGCCGCGTTTTTCAGGAGCTCCTGCAGCTCGCGGAAGCTGCCGCCAGCACGAAGGTAGAAGTACTTGAGGATCTCCTCCCGGCTGAGCTCGTCCATCTTGAGATTTCCGGCAATCTCCGGAATCTCCAGGGCCAACTCCACGAAGCCTCGGCACGGGCTTATTGCACGACTTGGCAGCGAGGTCCTGCATTCGCCCACACGGCAACTCCAAAAGACAAAGGCAAACCAAAAAAATACACAACCAAGCCAGGGCGCTCTTCAAAGGCAGTGGGTCCACCACCACCAGCTCAGACATGTTGAACTTGTCCTCTAGGGTCTCTACTACGCGGCGCTCCCGACTACCATCTAGCCGCTGTTACAGCACCTAGGCAGCACCCTGGACGCCCGATTTTGACCCAGCCGCTCCTTGATCTTGTCGGCAATGAGGGACACCGACACTTCCAGCACGAATTGGCACAAAGCGTAGTCGTAGGTGATTGTCCGGGCGAAACCACCCAGCTCGGACGCGACGTCATCACACTGGTCCATCGTGAATTTCTCCCCACGGTTCTTGGTCGAGAGCTGAAGGTAGACGATGAGGGGGCGCTGGGATTTGCGCATGCAGAACCCCTTGAGCTCCTTCATCAACCCCATCAAGGGAAGCCTCCGCGAGTAATCTGGAAAGTTCTTGATCTGCAGCACGTCCTCGAAAAGCGCTTCTAGGCGCAGGTTCTGACCTGGATTCAGGGATTGCACCACTGGGAGCACAAGACGCTCTTCATCGTGGTACTCTGCCAGAAGATGTTTGAGCATGGTCGATTTACCGCTCCCCTGCGGTCCGGTGACCACCAAAAATGAGGGGGTATGCATTGCAG